AAGATTTCATTGACACAACATTTTAGGAGATAAAAAAGATGAATTATCTAAATTATTGCTTGTCAAAAACAATATCAACATAGTGATAGGTACGGAATAGAGAAATTAATGTAACAAGTAAGGATATTTAATATAAAAGAAAATTGCTTATTTCTACAAAATTATAAAACCAGAAATGGCTGAGCATAAGCAAATGCATGAACCCCTAATTATGGAATGATTCACTTAATGGAACTTAAAATTATGCAATGGGGAAAACAACTACACAAGCAGAAGTGACCTCCAATTATAATGAAGAAGTTTTGCATATAACTACACAGTGAATTTAAATAAAATTAACAAAAGATAACAGGAGAAATGTCTTGTGCCACTGTACCAGAATGGAACCTGATGAGGTTTTAAATTTCTAATCAATAAAAGCAATATCTTAAATCAATGCTAATGACCCACGATATAAAACATGACACGCAACACTAACAGTTAGACAAGCTAAACGGACCACATACCCTGCTATCACGTGTTCCATGAGGGCTGCTTGCAATTTTCGGCCTGAACGCATTTGGATTGCGTTCCAAAGTAGCTTCCACCGCTTCTCGTCTAGCAGCTTCATTTTCCACATTGTTATAGCAATTTACACAGTTGCAACCATCACAATATATTCCCGAAGCAAAACATTCACAATATCTGCGCAAGCAATTCAAACATTAGCTCCACATAACTTACCATTCCATCCAACAAGAATCAAAAGCACAATAAAAAGAAGACAGAGAAAGCCAGAGTATTTCACTTACAGCTTCAAGCATTTTGAATGTTTACAATTGCACTGTTTTTGCTTTTTGGGAGTAGCTTCTTTAATTTCAAAGCCAGGCCTCGGTCTCGACTTTGGAGATTCTGGTTTCCTGAACAAAACAAACGCTAATTGAAGACCAAAGAGCAAAAAACCAAAACCAACTCAAGCAGTCAACAAACACCTTAGCTGGAAAAAAAAATTAAATAAAATTCATATCATATTAAATTAACCAAAGCTAATAATAATTATCAGTCACTTCTTTCTCATTTCTCAACCACCAAAACCCGAAACCAGAAAGGAAATTTCCTATCCAAATCTTCACAAGCTCTGATTGCAAACTCAACTTCGCAACTAATAAAAAAAAACCGGCCATGTATTATACCCCCAAACAGAAACATCAAAATCGAAACTTTACTAACAAACTCAAAATCCCAGAATTTCCAAAATTTCAGACATTTTTCAAAAAAACACAATTAAACCTTCCTTTTCTCATAACTCTGAAATTCCATGAGAAACGAAAAAGATAGAAACATATACAGAATTCAAGAACTCACCCAACCCTGACGGAAGCAGAAGGCGGCAGAGGCAAAACCACCGGCGACTGCGGTGGCATCCCACCGAAGCCGGTGAAATCGAGCTGTCTGGCGAGCTTCTTGGCGGGAACATCAGACGGCAAAAGCGCATTCGCGACGACGTCGTTGGGCACAACATTCTTGGGAGCACAATCACTCCCCTCACCTTCCCCTTCTCCCATTAAAACAATAATTTAAAAAAAAAAAAGTAAGAACCTCACTCACTCCTCCACTCACCGATTATCAACGATAACATCAACAACAATCAGCAACAAATTCATCAAAAGTTAAGCTCAAATTCAGTGGTTTCAGATCCAAACACCACGCGACTGCGTGTGCAACTCTCGAATCAAGACAATTCGATCCAAAAACCAACTGAACACAACCATAGAAAGAAAAAAGGAAGAAGAAGAAGAAGAAAAAGAAGAAGCAGAAGAATAGTCTGTGATTAAGAAACCAGAATAGAAGAGAGGGGCTTCGTGTTTCTTTCGTTGGTGGTGTTCTCGTTCGCCCCTCTCTTCCTCCCTCTCTCTCCCAAGCTTTTCAAATTCAATTTTCGTAAATATTCAACGGCCAGATCTCCTTCCCCTCGTCATCCCACGCTCCTCCGCTAAAGTGTCAATCTCGCGGCGCAAATTCATAGAAGCCTCACTCCTCTCTCCTCCTCTGCCCTCCGATTCAACTCCCCTAAAAACCCATTTTTAATATCACCCGTTCAAGATCGACACGTGTGCGTATTTTATCCCACGCCTCTCTTTGCGTCGCTGGGGGTTACAACAGTGGATTTCGTTTTGGGGTTAAACCTAAAATGTAAATAAACAGAGAATTTGGCGCTAAAATAAAGTAGTCTCATCCGAGTTGTTGACTTCCCAGTGCAATTCTTTTGAGCTAAATTCACTATCATCCCATTAACATTCAACACAAAAAAATTTGCAATGCTAAAGCCTTTAATATCCTTTGAATTTAATTGAAATTGAGATAGAATATTTTAATTTTATATCTGAAAAAAACTAAATTATTTTTTTTTAAATTGATTAGATTCTGTAACAGATTATAGTTGGCATCAATAAATATTTCATATTTATAATATGATAACTCTAAAAATTGTATGACAGTAATTTTTTTTCCTTCTTCTGGGAGCAATTGAAAAAATTGTTAAAGAGAATGGAATGTGATATTTTTGGTGGGTAATAAATTGAAAAGGAAATGACATATTTATATGTTTTGTGAGAAGGAGTAGATGACAATATGATGGCTGTATGGTTTTGGTGTGAAAAGGCTTCGATGGTTTAAAAACCTGAATCGAACTACCCACTACAATTGGACCATGGATGACACACCACCACTTCCATTGGCCCCGTATAAGCCAACATGTAAAAGTCAATTCATTATTCGATTCCTTTTCAGGTGAGAGTTAAAAAGGTTTCATCATCATCATTCTCCATTTTCAATTACCTTGATTACCATCAAGAAAACAACATCAAATTTGATCCCAAATTTAATTATGCTAATATAAGTATTTTTATATATTAAATTTTATCAATTTTACTGGAAAAAGACACAATCCAATAATCATATAATAAGAGATTCACATTACTCTTTATTCAAAACCTTAACTTAATAAGTTAATTGTTCACATTTATATAATGTTTGATATTTAATATTGTATTTGCTTTGAAAAAATTTAAAATTTAGTTACAGTTTTATTTTTAAAAAATATTATCTTTAAAAATTGAATAAAATAATAATATTTAAACTTTTTTATTTTTTTAAAATAATATAAAAACGCTTGAAAAATCACAGTAGATGTTAAAAATTATAGAACATAAACGTGAAGTATTCTAATTTGTTCCGATAAATAACCAATATTGAAACATGCATACGTCTGTGGGCCCTTTTAACGTAAGTTCTTCGTCATCAAATCACGAAACCTTGTTGGTAGTTTGTTTGAGAATCTATTTTACGAAGACAGTCTATAATTGATGTAGCAAATTTTGTCTTTGAAGTATGAAATTAACTTCTTCTACTTACATTTCAGAACATCATTGCCTACTCTCTCATGAATATTATATATTTTTAGAAGGTACTTATTATTTTTATTTTGCCGGAAAATTGAAAAAATAGATTCAGCATGGAGCATAACACTAGATACCAGATTTTGAGATAGCCCTTGGTCAGTATTTAAAGAGTGTCAAATAGTAGTTATATTTACTTTACCATTCTCTCCAATTTGCTGCCAGTATTTGGTTTATCAGCCAATATTTAACTGTGTACTAAACATAAAAAATGTTTAATTTCATAAATATAAACTTCACGAAAAAAAATACGTTTAATATATGTGTTGCGAAGGTAGTGCTCAGAAAACAAAAATCAAGGAATTAGCTTTTAAAAGTTGTACTTAAAAATTTTTATTTAAAAGTAGAATCCAAGTCACATTCTAGTATTCTACTGATTCCAAAATTGCATAAATCAATAAGTGTGATTGGAAATTACAAGGCTAATAAACCTGAACTTCAAAGGATTTTCATCCTTTATTCCACATCAGAGAAGCAGGGCTGGGCTTATGGAATCACAAAATATGCTAGCAGAATGAGAGGGATCTTGAAGAGGCATAGAACAACAACAATGCAACCGATGAAATATTGAGAACTAGAGAAGACGATTTCAATAATAGATGTTGATAATATATAATCTGTTATGCTCCGTTTTTACTGAATTTGTACTTCTTCTAAGTAAACAAGGATTGAGTTACGTTGTTCCTTTTCTGATCATTTAATTACGTGTAAATGGTTCATTTTGCAGGTGATATTACCTAAAGACCTATTTTAATTCTTCATATTTTTGTGTATTTCCTTTGGTGTTCAAGATTAATTGTACTTTAAATAAAATTAGATACAAAAATTATTTGTTGCTGCTACTACTGCCCTTGGTTAATCAATAGTTTCATCTTTTGGTCTAGAAATTATAAACAATATTTCTTAGAGACTTGTTAACTGGGACTTAGAATTTGGCAGAGGGAACTGACGCTGATATCAGTGTTTCACGCCGAGCAACTCTCATACTTCAGAAGACATTACGAAATTGTTATATGATCGCAGAGCGCAGCAAATTGTATTAGGGCATAACGTTTCATAGGAAGAAATTTGGTGTATTGGCAGTCCAAGCTAAGCTTGATATTCAAAAACAGTTTTAATTTCAATGATGGAATATCATGATTTTCCCCTGTTTTCAGACGTGGTATTTTGGATTTAAAGGGGATTATAAATATCATGAAGTATACCTTTCCAATTTCCATCATTTTCATTATTCTATTTCTGTGTACTGTAAAAAGATGATATAAGGCGTGCTTTTCTCCTTTGAATGATATGACAAAATACAATTATGTAAAGAGACAAAAACAAGGTCATGGAGTTCACGTAAAAAAGGTACGGAGTTAGTTAATAAGAGGAAACTCGACTATATTCCTCTATTCAATTGTTAAATATCGTAAGTCTAAGTTCACAAAGAGGCATGCTCATATAGCTGGAATGCAGAACCTGCCAGTTCCACTCATGTATAGTCTATGTTTATGGTGTTGTTCTATAGATATAAATCCTCTTGCTGTAAGTTGTTTACCAGGTCATGACATGACCGTAATAAACACAAGAAATAACTAGTTACTAATACGTTCTATCTGTAAATATGACAAGATACAAGTCCATTATTACAACAACTATGAGTGTCATGGTCAACTATGAATTCATGTTAACACAGTCCATCAAGTTTTTTTCAATAGTTTATCTCTCTGTTCACATCAAATCCGAAAAATATTTCTCATAAATATTCTCACCAAATAATTACCATTTGAACAGCACCACACAAAAGGTAAAGGCAGGTTCCAAGGATACGATGTACCTTGAATTCTTCAAGGAAACTGTATGGAGAAACCGGTACCAGTTCTAGTAATATTGAGCGGGCCAAACTCATCAAAATCAGAATCAGATTCCATTCCATCCAGATCACCCCACCCACCAGGGGAATCCTCATCTTGTCCGTTTCTGTTAAGAGGAACTGGCAGCTCAGAAATAGGCACAGGAAGAGGCTCTTCATTAAAGTACTTGTCATTAAGCAACTCCATTGCCGTAGCCCTCTTAGCAGGATCATAACAAACCAGTCTTTTCACCAGAGCCACTTCATCAGGGGACCTATTTGGTAAACAGGCTTCAATACCAGCAGGGTTCTCCACCTTGCTAAAGGAGATTATCCCATAATCAGGAAGTTTAGAACAACCAACCCAAACACTCTCATCAAGGTTACCCAAAACACTAATGATTCTACTGAGCTGGTCAATATCAGCAGTTCCAGGAAACAAAGGCTGCAAAGTTAAAAGCTCCGCAAATATACATCCCAAGGACCACAAATCAACCTCCAAACCATAGTCTCTGGATCCATAAAGCAACTCAGGAGCCCTAAACCAACGAGTCCCAACACATGAAGTGAAACAACCAAGTTCGTTCTCTTCATCTTCCCTGTTTATGTCACTTGTGGTGCATGTTGCATTTCCATCGTGAGTATTAGTACAAGTATCCTCATTATCAATGTCTCTAGAATACTCTTCATGCTTATTAGAATCATCAAATCCAGGCTCCGTAAGAATTCTTGCCTGAAAAAATAGCCATCAATTCAGTACGTAATTGGATTCCCATTGAGTCATCCAGAATTTCGTTGCTACGCTAGTTAACCAAATTTTTTAAGTGTTCATGTGTTTGGTTTCAATTTTGAGGAATTGAGTGTGTTTATGTTTTTGGGTGAGTGTTACGAAATTGATTTTATGTGAAGTTAGTTTTGATGAAAATTGAAGTAAAATTGATTTATTCTAAATTAAATTAGTAGCTAACTCACTTTAAATTTTCATTATTTAATACAGAAGCCATTTAAGTTTCGTTAACTCAGGAATCAATTGCTCAAGCTAAAACTTGATATGTAAAAGTGTACAAAAGAACACATTAATGATTACTTCTGGATAATCGAACGTGTGACTAAACATACACTGAGTTTTTGGTGTTGATTTTGAGTTNTATCTCTCTGTTCACATCAAATCCGAAAAATATTTCTCATAAATATTCTCACCAAATAATTACCATTTGAACAGCACCACACAAAAGGTAAAGGCAGGTTCCAAGGATACGATGTACCTTGAATTCTTCAAGGAAACTGTATGGAGAAACCGGTACCAGTTCTAGTAATATTGAGCGGGCCAAACTCATCAAAATCAGAATCAGATTCCATTCCATCCAGATCACCCCACCCACCAGGGGAATCCTCATCTTGTCCGTTTCTGTTAAGAGGAACTGGCAGCTCAGAAATAGGCACAGGAAGAGGCTCTTCATTAAAGTACTTGTCATTAAGCAACTCCATTGCCGTAGCCCTCTTAGCAGGATCATAACAAACCAGTCTTTTCACCAGAGCCACTTCATCAGGGGACCTATTTGGTAAACAGGCTTCAATACCAGCAGGGTTCTCCACCTTGCTAAAGGAGATTATCCCATAATCAGGAAGTTTAGAACAACCAACCCAAACACTCTCATCAAGGTTACCCAAAACACTAATGATTCTACTGAGCTGGTCAATATCAGCAGTTCCAGGAAACAAAGGCTGCAAAGTTAAAAGCTCCGCAAATATACATCCCAAGGACCACAAATCAACCTCCAAACCATAGTCTCTGGATCCATAAAGCAACTCAGGAGCCCTAAACCAACGAGTCCCAACACATGAAGTGAAACAACCAAGTTCGTTCTCTTCATCTTCCCTGTTTATGTCACTTGTGGTGCATGTTGCATTTCCATCGTGAGTATTAGTACAAGTATCCTCATTATCAATGTCTCTAGAATACTCTTCATGCTTATTAGAATCATCAAATCCAGGCTCCGTAAGAATTCTTGCCTGAAAAAATAGCCATCAATTCAGTACGTAATTGGATTCCCATTGAGTCATCCAGAATTTCGTTGCTACGCTAGTTAACCAAATTTTATAAGTGTTCATGTGTTTGGTTTCAATTTTGAGGAATTGAGTGTGTGTATGTATTTGGGTGAGTGTTACGAAATTGATTTTATGTGAAGTTAGTTTTGATGAAAATTGAAGTAAAATTGATTTATTCTAAATTAAATTAGTAGCTAACTCACTTTAAATTTTCATTATTTAATACAGAAGCCATTTAAGTTTCGTTAACTCAGGAATCAATTGCTCAAGCTAAAACTTGATATGTAAAAGTGTACAAAAGAACACATTAATGATTACTTCTGGATAATCGAACGTGTGACTAAACATACACTGAGTTTTTGGTGTTGATTTTGAGTTAAAACATCTTCACATTTGTGTTTTTATTAACCTACTGACTTGATTTTAAAACAAAAGCATTGAAAAGTAATCACATAACTTCAAAAACAATTTGAACTAAAAGTCAGTTTTGCAAACACCCGATCAATCAAGCGCTCAGACATTTGAAAAGTCGGGGTTAGGGTTTTGTGGTTGTCGACAATGAGAAGAGATTACCTGTCCGAAATCGGCGATCTTGAGGAGGCCATTTTCGGAAATTAAGAGATTCGAGGGCTTCAAATCACGGTGGAGGACCATGTTGCGATGACAGGCGTCGACGCCAGAGAGAATCTGGATCATCCACCGCTTGAGCTGGCCGGCGGGGAGGGGCTGGTTGTCCTTGGCGGCGTCAGCGATGACGGTTGCCAAGTCGGTCCTGAGGAACTCGAGGACGAGGACGGCGTCCTCGTCGTCGCGCCAGAATTATTCGTGCATAACGACGATGTTTGGGAATCCCTGGAGGAGTTGCAACGCGTCGATTTCTCGGAAAGCAGATTGGTAGTCGTGGATTTCCTTGAGGGCGACGGTGAGGCCATCGGAGAGGCGACGGCCACGGTAGACGTCGGCGTAAGCCCCCGACCCGACCCGCTCCATGACCTCGTACTTGGCGATGATCTCGGATCGGGTATGGATGCTCCAGCTCTTGGGTGGGGGATCCATCTCCATCGCACACACTCTCACTAACACTACTCGATGCCTGTCTCTCCTACCTTTTCTGCTATGATAAGGTTTTAAGCCTTCAATTAAATCTATGAATTTGTTTTCTTAGATATAAAACGTATTTATTGGTTATTATTATTAGTAAAATGCGAGACAGAGTAAAAATGTTTAAATGATACGTGAATGATTATATTAGTAGTTAGTTCCTCAGAATTCGACAGCCAATCGCCACGTTTTATTGTTGGACCAATTATTATGTGACACGTGTGCTACATACACATGACAGTTATGGAAGAAAAGTACTAAGAACTTGGAATATATAAAAAAATTAAGAGTGTTGCTCCGTACATCTCATTTGTTTCGATTCTCACATTTATATCCTTCATTTAATAAAATCTAAAAAGTGTAATGATGATTTAATGATTTTTTAAATACCAACAATCTTTATTTATATACTATTGTAATGTAACTCTAGGATGCACTCATCTCATTTCTTCACTCTTAAGCTTGTGCATTACTTTCAATCTTATTTTATTTGTTAATTTTTTGTTATTAAATTATTTTTGTTATTTTGTATTTATTATATACATTTTTTAAGTGTTAATTATTTTAACTTTTAATTTAATTTATAAGATGTTTCTATTTATATAATATGTTATATGCTGTTTTTAAATTTAATTTTATGTTGTTTTAGTTGTATGATGTTTTAGTTGTATGCTTTTATTTAGGTGTTTTAGTTGTATGTTGTTTTTTAGTTAATAAATAATTTTATGTTATTTTATGCTTTTTATAGTTGATTGCTCAGGCAAGGTTGACATTTCTCCTCAATTAGATCTTTTTCTAAGAAGATCTCATCCTAGCAGCTTTGAGAATAAACTTACGGAAGAAAGACACACCCTGATGCGGTCTAATGCTTCAGTCTTCCAAATTCAGAAAACAATAATAAAGCAATGAAAAAGTAGGAAAAGCTTGACCGTAGTTCAAGGTGCGGCAAAGTGTGAAACCGCATTTCCAATTACGATGTTATATGAACCGCATTTCCAACCACAATTAGATTGCATTTCAAACTGTTCCTCAACCACACTTCTAAGTGCGGAGAACTCTACAATCCTTTTTTCGGAGAGCTTTGCACCTCCTTTTCCAACTTGTGCAGTTACAACATCGACTTTCATCTCATCCAACAAATGACAACGAGTGAGGAAGGAGGGGAGATGGGAGGAGCACTCCATGTCATAAGAGAGAAGAAAGGGGTGTATGCAATACGAAAGTAAAGTTCTTACAGGGACACAGTTAAAATTATAAAAGAATAAGGAGATGCAAGATGTGATAAGATAAAAGGAGAATCACTCAAAAGTTAACCATATTTTTAAAATTCTCTAAATTTTGGATTTATATTTTTATTTATAAATGTTTCATTTACAAATCATATATTTCTAAGATAATATTGAAATATAATTTTTTTTATCTTTTATTAAAATATTTACCAATTATAAAATCTATTAATTAAATCAAAACTTTCGCATATACTTATATTCCATTTATTTCATTTATAAGTCTAAAGATTCTGTTCTATCTTTATATTCTCCAATCACCTCAAAATTGATATTTTATATGATTAGGTAGATAATTTATATTCGGGTATATGAACCACCATATACCATGAAAACTTGGGACCTATCTCCTAGAAAATTGGTTACCAAGTTTGAATGTTCTAAATAAAGCAAATATATTTTGGTATTCATAGTCCACCTTCAATAAATCTATGCAATCTATCTGAATCACTCCCACTCTCTCTCCCATAAATCAATGCTTTCAAATTTCCTCACATACACAAAAATAAACGCAAAGCGAATAAAAAATATATTTTCACACATCTACTCAAATAATCCATATATGGAAGCACACCTACTCTAAAGGTCAAGGAACCTGAATTAAGTCGATCATGTTCCAATGATATTTGCATTAGTTAAAATTTTGAGAAAAAGATAAACGAAGAGAATTTTTAACTTCAAAAGGAAAATATATTAATGATGTGTATCAGTTATATTGTTATATTGATTAAAAGAATGTCACTTATAAATAATTTATAGTTTAGGAAAAGAATTTTCATTTATGTTTCTATATTGTCATAACTAATATAAGTTAAATTATTTATAACTTAAGGTGATTTCAATTCAACTTGCATTAATTTAATTAAAATCACATTTTAATATTTGATTGTTGAATTTACACTTTGATAACGATAAAAGTTTTATATGTAATTTTTTCTACAAACATACTATATAATAATCTAAATAAACACTCTTTTTCCCGTATTCAAGTTACTACTAAAATATGGGAAAAAACAAACTTGCTTGTTTGTGTTTTCCTTCATTTGTCGTCGATCTCTTTCTCTGAAGTAAAATCTTGATCCCAGTTTTTAATATCCTGAGTGCTCCCATAAGCTACACTAAATGCTAAGAAGCATAATAAATTAGCCAAATTTAGAACGAGAAGAAGGGCATAGTAGTAGTCATAGTGGCCCATGTTGATGTTTGATGCTAGCCAACTAGCTTTTCCTCCTTTCCCTGTTCCATCTTTCACAACTTTCACAATAAGGCTTCCGACAAGGTTTCCTACCCCAAAGCCAAAGGTGCATAGGGAAACAGCAATGCTTGACATTGCCTTAGGAAACTGGGAGTAATAGAATTCTATTTGTCCAATGATGTTCAAACCCTCTGCTAAACCATATAAGCAGTACTGAGGCACTAACCACACAGCAGACATGTTCACGACTCCTTTTGGGTTGTCTATAAACCCTTCCCTTATTGCTTCATCCCTTCTTTTCCTCTCTACCCATGCTGCCACTGCAGTGGCCAAGCATGAGATAGCTATTCCAAATCCCAGTCGTTGCTTAACACTGAGTCCTCGCCCCTTTGGGAACAGGGGAAGCAGAATTCGGTCATAAATAGCCACCCATAAGGTTAAAGTAAGGATTATGCATGCACTGAAGTTGGTTGATGGAATGTCCATATGGAACACCTCCCTGTTCATGGTCCCTGCTTGAACCACAGAAAATGATTGTTGGCTTATGGTAGTTGCAAATATTATACCAGTGGACCAAATAGGAAGAACTTTGATTATAGCTTTCAATTCCTCTACTTGTCTCACTGTACACATACTCCACGGGTCAGTGGGCATCCCATCACTGTCTAGATCTTTCTCTTTGTTCTTCAGTATGCAAGCCTTGTTCAAGAACCTAGGAATGAAGAATCAAATATTAAATTGATTAATAAGATTACAAAACCAGGTTTACGTCATGGTGTGTTACTTCCCGGTTGGTCTCTTATAACACCAAAATTCTCAAGAGTATTGAATTTTCATGTTACATACCTTACTTTATCAGTTGGCTGAACAAGAATGGAGTCATTGTGAAAATACCATGCGTCGGAGTTCGTGGGAGGAAGAGACAAGTGTCTGTTTTTCCATGCTGCCGCAATCACTTGGGCAAAGCTAGTGAGCAAGCTCTTGTTTGGTTTCACTTTGATATATAAAGAAGAACCCAAGAAAAACATTAAAGTAGAAAATGTCATAAGCCCCACAGGAATCCCAAAACCTATCACCCACCCTGCTTTAACTTGGATGTACACTATAAATATCACTGAAATTGATACTGAAACGCCAACCGAAACATAGTACCAATTGAAGAAGCTCTTCATGGTCCTCTCATTTTGTGGGTTTTCAGGGTTTCTGATTTGATCAGCCGTAAAGGCTAAGGTGCACGGCCTAATTCCACCAGCCCCAAGAGCCATCAGAGCAAGTGCAGAGAAAAGAAATAGGAGTTGAAATGATGTAGGTTTCGCACAAGCTTCTTCATTATGGCATTCGGGCCTAGCACGCCTAATAATCGCTGTGAGCCACAATACAACCAGGCCCTGTCATGTAAGAAATTCATGCAATTTTCAGAATAACTTCTTTATATTTTGGGAATTCTTTGAAAAATCTTCATTATTAAGTATTGTGGTGCTTACAACAAGGTCGATGATGGTTCCGAGGGCAATAACACGAAATCGTCCAAGCCAAGAATCAGAAAGGAAAGCACCAAACATTGGTATAAAATTAGATATGGCGTTCCACAGGAATACTATAATGGCTGCTGTTGCAGGGTCAAAATTATACTCCTGTAGCAGGTACAATATCATGTTCACATGCAGCCCCACATTCGCAACCTTTTCAAATGTCTCGTTTGCTAAAACAAGTTCAGAATCATAACCTGGTTAGAACTTCCAGTACAACAGTTCTAAAAAGAAAAAAACCATGATAAAGAAAAGCGTCATCATCACCTATGATAAAGGGCATGGTTCTGAAGCCACCTTTTTTCCTTTCAACCTTTGGGGTGGCTTTCTTTTGCTCAATTGGCATCTCCATTTTTCTTCTGCGATACACATGAAAAGGTTAGACACAAATATACTTGAAGCTCGTTACTCGTTGCTACACTATACAAGAGCTTTGTTTTATACACAGAAATAGATCTCTCTCCTCAGTTGAACTTCGGTGGAGGCAGAACCTCGTTATTACTTATGCTCTGTCATCTTAGTAATTGAAACAAATGAATATTTATTCATGTTCTTGTCCATTTCTCGTTTTAGTTTAGTCAAGGGATGAAAAAGATGTCGTGTATAAACATGCCTGTGTAAAAATTCCAAGGTTTTAGCTCCCACTGTTGTGAGAACTTAATAAATAAGATTTTTGGTGATGTAATTGGTCTTATTCGGAATCTGCCGTCCACGTTGTACCATAGTTTGAAGTGAAAGAATGTGTCTCTATGAAACATAAAGGTTGGTTTTAGTGTCCAACGACGGATCAAAGGTTTCAAAGGGTGAAGCACAAAATTTACTTAATTTATGTCATTTCACTTATCAGTGAACTAAATTTCGTTTTTGACTGTTCCTTTGATCTAAAACTTATTTTCATGAAATTCATTGTTAACACGGAAAAGTAATTAAAATTTAATTGGAAAGTGGTTTTCGTAAAAAAGTGTGATTTTTTTTATTAATTAGGATATAAATAGAAGTTAAATTTGATCCTTTGGATGAAACGAAAGCTGTGTTGTC